GGGCGCTCGCATTTAGAAGTCGTGAAAAATTCTACAATTCCTTTTTTTCAAAATTTTTGGTATAGTCTGATAGGCAGTCCTATAGGCTTTAATTTGATATACGGGTTTAGATATCTGCAGTTTAAACCGGACGCGCTACTTCGCTTGCACGCGAGACACCCCTAAAGCAGCACGGTAACCTTAAGTAAAATACAACTACTTTGTTTAAGGTTAAGCCTCTCTGTTGAAATAACTAGAAACTGTGAGTGTAACCATAAAATTTGATGGCAAGAACGGGAAGTAAGCTTTTGTGTATAATCATTTTCAATCCTCTCCTCGTATCTCTTTACCAGTGTTTTTTTTTTTTTTTTTTTTTTTTTTTTTTTTTTTTTTTCATTAACGTCATTGATGGTAGCCTGCGAGCACCCGCCTCATTACTGGCGCTGATAGTCGCGTGTTTCTCGGCCTGAGGGAAAACTGGAGAGGAGTCGGATAGAGGTTTGAAGGGAGTCTGGCACCAATAATGGTTGACCCTTTCGCCGGTTCGCGTAGCACAAGGCTTATCCTTTTCCGCTGACGATGAAACACTCGAGTCGAAGCTGCCGAACGATGACCTGCTCGCAGGCTACATTGTTCGATAACCCTCATCTGATGCTTGTATCTGCCATTTTTATTTTTATTTCTTTTTTTTTTTTTCAACGACGCAAGGAAATTACTCAATAGTTGTATCTGGGGGAAACGTCAATGTTGGTTACCGGTCGCGAATGACTTGTTACTCCGGGCAGCCGAGAGGTAATGCTTTGAATGAAAGTGAAGTACTATGATTTAGGTACTTGTTAAGGCAAATTTTGAAGTAGACAAAAAATAAAAACAAAACAAATGAAAAAAAGCACAAAATATGTAAGAATAGTACAAAATGATAGTAACAATAACAGTGATAATAGTGATGCATATAACGACTGTGATGGTATTTATAAAAAATATTGATGATAAAGAAAAAACCAAACAAAACAAAACAAAAAAAGAATACGTAAATTTCGGATATATAAAAAAAATTGAATTTTTTTTTTTATAACAGACTATTCTACGGCGTCAGTAAGGACAACTACAGCAAGAATCACTGGTTCCGGTAAGAATTACTGTCTTGATAAACCGTTTTCCTCTTTACCCTTAACTCTTTACCTCCCAGAAGTGATTTGTCTGGTTGCTCAGATGTGCATCTTTAGAAACAAACATTTTTTTTTAAGGCACTGGCTTTTGTGATTCTTTTTTGAAGCAGGCGAAAGAAACTTCGAAACTTTCACTTACATAAAAGAACATCTTAGTTCAATGATTTTTTCAGCTACAGCACAATTTTTTGACATTTACTGGATTCTTTAACTCTATAAGCAAATCAAAGCACCACGTCGGATTTATAAAACCTTTTCACCACTTATATTCAAGATTTTAAAAAAGTTTAATTTAAAGCGTTCTAGAAATTTCTTCGAGAGGACGTCATTTGAATGTGAGGGCATAATTTCATCTTAAATCGAAGAATACATTAAACGCCATGAGAAATCTCTACTTTTGTTCGTTGTTTTGTTAATTAGTTACTTATCTTAAATTTAAACTTAGTCGCCACGTGTATTATTAACTGTCACTTCTGAAGATGTATGTCGAAACATACGAAACGTCAAGTAAAGTTTACTAATCTTGTTTTCCAACATGCGTTTTACTGTCATGTTTGTAACTGCAGTTTGTGTGCTATTTCTTATCACGCTACGATGGCCAAAGAAAAAGAATTTTTTTGATTCAATTATTTTTCTGTATATATATATATATATTTTACCTACATATACACGAACATATATTTTTTTTTTGGATATCTCTACACAGGCGTCCCAACAAACGGGACTGGTAGTCATGCTGCTCCTCCGTCACCTCCTTTAACACCCTCTTCACCAGCTTCAATATCCCCTCCACCCTCTCCCTCTACCCTTCCACCAGCTCCATCTCCGGCCCCGCCCCCATACAATTATCCAAAGCCTCCTGTTTCTCCAGCTACGGCACCTTCCCCAGCCTCCCCGCCAGCATCGCCACCTTCATCACAAGGGATTACACCTTCCTCGCCTCCAATACCAAATGGAGGTAAGTTTAGACATTGAAGAAGAACTGCCACTTATTTCCAGAATTAAACTCTACAGTGTTATACACATTTTTCGAAATTTTTACAGTTTTGCATTTTTAAATTTTAATTTTTAATTAAACTTTTAATTTTTTTTAAACTTCTATTTTTTTTGAAATTTTTAATGATATTTCCCTTTTTACGAGGTTTCTTTTCGTCATTGATTTGGTGAAATGAAATCCTGAACTTATATTCCAGAATAACGTACCTAACTTTTTCGAGTAGTTATACCGATGAATGCCTTGTTATATTATCAATGATAGCTCTCTCTGAGAAAAATCTCATTCAAACACAAATCCAAGATCATCATAGCCAGAGCTTTGGAAATATCGGAAATTGAGAACCCAGAAATCATTTTATTTCCTTATACATATCATTACCGCTTAACTAACCTTTTTGCATTTTACTCGTTTAGAACAGGAACCAAAAGCACTCCACTATCACTACCACTATCATGGTCAGAAAGCCCCGGCAATTCCATCAGGTATAAATGTAGAACAAAACCCTATGTTTATTCTGCTCTTACTGCAACCAAGTAACGTCCATCGCACTTTGGTGATCATTTAACGATTTCGGATGATCTGGCCGGATCCCTAACAAAAAACAAAACAAACAAACAAACGACAAAGAACACAACATTAATACAACTGTGTTGTACTCTAACTTAGCTCGAATATAATCATAAAAAAGCTGGAGTGTCGACAAGATTTAACAAATCTTTTTTTTAAATATGTGTTTGTTTTCAGCAGTTTGTCCCAACATGTGCTCGCAGTCTGAAGAATGCCTTCCCACTTGTCCATCACACTGCTGCAAGCGAGACCTCGATGAGGAAATATCAGACGACAATGATGAGGAAGATATAACGTTGTTTTGAAAACCGCCATTCTTTTCCCTCTTTGCGATTAGCATGTTTCTGTCGATCCTTATATTGAGGCAAAAAAAAGGTATTAACGTTTGTTTTGTTTGGCTTACCTTTCCCGGATGAGATGCCTAGAAACACCCCCGACCTAAAGAAAATATATAAAATGGCTTTCGAGGCAATTTTAAGCGACCCCTGCATCGATTGCACGAGAAAAAAGCATGTTAAGACATGCATTGTGTCCAAAATAATTGATCATGTATCTACCTCCATTTTGTTCGATTTCTTGCCATGAAAATTGTCGAAGACTTTAAAACTTACAAATAAACTGTTTATAACACTACCAAATGTGCGTGTCATAAAGTACCTGTCTCGAACATTTAATTTCCTCTGAATCTTGAAAAATATAATCCCATACACCACTGCTCCAAACTTTTAACAAAGTTTACGACCTTGTTTATGTTTTGGATTTTTAAAGGTTCTCGCTTTCTTATTAATCCACAAATTTAATACAAAACTAGAAATGAGTGCGACTCAATTAATTAAGTTTTCTTGCACATGGCGTATGTTGTGCGAGTTTTCATTGGTTCCCTGTAATACTTACTTTAGCCATGATTGGCTGCGTTAGATCAGATTGGTCTGTGTCTGAGTTAACGACACTATAAAATAAAGCACACAAAAGTATACCTCCAACATCGTATACAATGCCTTGCTGTCTTAATTGCCTGATTGTTTATTTGAGAGCCTCATTGAAAGCGAGGCAGGAAGTGTGCCAAAAGTATCATGGTACTTTACTGTTCGCCGCAGGTGTTCTTTTGTTTGTTCAAACACATCGCCTATTGAAAACCAGCATCAATATTTATAGACAAAATGACCTTTCGTTAGAGTTTCCTCTTGGCTTTGGCGCGTCTGTAGCCAAAGACGCTATTGATATGAGTCGATCAGTCATAGTTTGGTTTGCAGCTTTTGCTCTGATATCAGTCACCGTTTCACGTGGCCACGAACTTGGAATCCAGAATCTCACTTCTAAAGGTAATGAAATATATCCTTTGCAATAAATCTGTGTATCACTGTTTTCAAGTGACAGGTCAGTTACTCCTCTCACCCGCAATATCCTCTACAAAGTCAATCAAATAAATTTGATAAATGATGTTTCACTATAATCTTAAACACAAGATTTGTGAAATGCTGAATGCGCTGACTTGGGTTAACAAGCACTGCGACTGCTAACTACTCGATACTAAAAAATGTGTTTCACTCTAGATGTTGAACTTTATCTCCAGTGAATTTTTCCTCCGGTTTCGATCGTAATTTTTAGGTATCATATCTCACACAGACCCGGTGTAGATAGCTTGGCTGAATGACGTTTAAATGATTTGACAAAATAATTGTAGAAACAAATTCAAGGAGTCTGATTATATCGTAGCTTAAAAGTTTTTTCAAGGTATACCTCTTAATCACATTTAGAATGAAGTGAACTTGAATATCCCAAGTTTGATTTATCAAGGGGAAATAAACCTTGTGTTTTGTGGTGTAATAATAAACACTTCGCTTGATCCATATCTTGAATAAAATAAGTAACATCATTCCCGGCTCGGTTACAATTGGTGCTAAAACCTTCAAAGTTTTTGGGAAAACATTTGTATAAAATGTCATATCCAGTGATCACTTATTGAAGTACAAACATTTGTAAGCATTGGATAATAACGGTTTTAAACGTTATTTATTCTTCCCGACAGAAGTTGAGAACGATGTAGTTCGTAGAAAACGGGCATTTGGTAATTCTGCACCACCATGTAACAGTAAGTAAAAATCGTGTTTTTTTTTTTAATCTTTTAATTGACTTGTTCTGCTTGTAGAGTATAACTTATCTTCTTTCTTGAAATTTTCCCTGACGTAAATGACGTTAGAGTTTGGAGATCTTTCTTCTATTGCTTTTTCCCCTACCAAAGTATTTCCGAAAAAAGGAAATTTAACATATAGCCTACTCATGCTTCATGTTTAATTCAAATCTGAAGGGTGTTGCCCTTCCTACCTTGTCTAAACTAAGTGTAAACCTTTGTTACTTCGTATTTTTCAATATTAACTCTGTTTCAGGGACGAACGGCGTGTACTTAGAAAGATGGGATAGAATTGATTACAAAAGAATCAGATTCCTGCTCGAGGATCCTCGATATCCAAATCTGCCAAGTTTTACTACGTGTGTGCCAACATTTGAACAGCCCGCTAATTGGGGAGACTTCTTCGGTTCTCGTTTAAGAACTTACTTCGTCCCTCTTCAAACCGGAAACCATTACTTCTTTCTGTGTAAGGATCCGGACTCTATATGTAACTATAGACTGCTCTTCAATATATGAAATACTTTGCGTAAGACGTGTAAAAATAATTTCGGTAAAGGAGGTCCTTCTATAATTATGTAAAGGAAGTTACGTTGTAAACGTCGAATTGAAATGACTCAATCCAACTGGCAAGCTCAATGATGTAATAGAAATTTGGCGGAGAAGTTAGTGTTGCTGTGTATCTGAAGTTAGAAATTTTTGAGAAATCTGAGAAATTCTTGTTAGGACTTAAGTTCACCATTTAATTTGATCAAATCACACGTCAGAGGGCATGGCTGACAACCACATATCACGCGCAATGCATGATGCGTTTTGACCTCAAATGTGTACAACATGCACGAATGCTTCACAAACTGAATAAAAAGTTTCTTATTTAACTTAAGGCCTTTATTGTTACTGTTATTTTTTTTTTCACTTCCAGCTTCTAACGGTGGAAGTGAACTATACTTAAGTACAGATGATAAGCCAGATGGTAAAACTAAGATTGTTGAAGTAGATGGAGGATTCCCCAGTGAACAATATGAATACGACAGGTACATTTAAATGGGGAAAAAACGATAAGAGGGGAAAAGTGTAACCTGATTGAGTTTAGAAAGCCAGAAAGTGAGTTTATACCGACTGAGNTCCCCTTGGATCCGCCACTGAATACGCATGTTGAAGATATTTTTTAAGGAGTGTATTTCGGTTTCTTCTTAACCTTTTTTGTTTAGGTTTCAACTATTGTTCTTATTGGTCGCATTTAGGTCGTTTGTTTATCTATTACATCATAGTTATCGGTCAATTACCCAGTTATATTTACTAATTTTCTTATATGAAAGAGATGAGATCATTTTCATCATTGTATCTCGTTGGACTCCCAGTTTGTTCTTACTTTTATCTTTTTATTAGGAAAATAATAATAATAATAATCTCTAGCGTGTTCATTAGGATGAGTGTTATCGTTAGCGTGATCGTTATCATCCCACATCTTGTTGAACTCTGGGAAGTGAGTCAGATATCCAATATTTTATTCTTGTTTATTCTGTCTTAGATAATGCAAACACAGAAGACCTCAGTAGCGACAATCTCTCTCGTGTAACCATAGTAACAAGCAACTCAAGCAACCCTAATGATCAGAAACAATCAAGTGACCATACAAATACGCTTTGGAAACACCGTAACAAGGAAAGGCTACGCCCAAATAGTATAGCCGAATCCTCAAGAGTTACAAATAGCTGTAGGAATATACACGAACCATTGGATAACACCATTCCTCCTCAGGAATTAGACAAGGCGCCTCTCGGCAGGGCTCTGGATTTCTGTACGGTGCCGGTAAACATCACAACTGATGGTAGAAATCACGAGGAGGTTGGGGCAGTTGAACGTCAAGATTTTAAAACTTCCATTGTCGATAAAATAATAAGGTTTATAATGGTCACTTATTCCATGTTACTTGATAGCTTCAGTTCAAGATCGAATCAGTAGCACATCGTATCAAGTTTAAAGTTCTGTTTGTTGCGTGAAATTCTAAAAACCTCATTGCCTAATCGGAATCCTTTAAAGGCAGATATCCAACACTTTTTGTGCGTCTTACTGTCTGACTTTTTCCTTTTCGGACATGTCGTTGATTTCCAACATTAATGTTGCTTTAAGTTTTTCTTACGTTTGCTGGAATTCCTTACTGAAATTGAGAAATATTTTGTTTCCACTGTTGTTTCTTTTAAAAACAGTGTTTGGGCATAAGGGGGAAGACAGCTTTAACAAACTTGCATAGCGAAGGATACCAGGAGTCTTGAATTACAATAGACGGCTTCTTTAATGTACCACTTTCTTGGTGTCACAACGTCACTACTAAATCCAACTTCAACTCTTTTTCTGCAGAAAGCAACGAGCTTGTGTGCCAGATAGCGACACCCATGACCACCTGATAATCAACCTAAGGCTAACAAAAATATTAAATTAAAGAAAACAATTACGGATCTCAACCTTGCGCAGATGACAAGTTTTATTTTTTCATACAGATAAAACGCTTAAAATAGTGATAACTTTATAAACATCAAATTCTACACCGTATCAGCAAGAACCCTCGAACATCTTCCTCGATCTGAAAAAATCACATCTCAATTCCAGGCAGGCAGGCAGAAGTGCATAAACACGAAACAAGGATGTAAAATTGTGTTTTCATAACTACGTGTTACGTAGCAACGTGAAACTGACGATGTGGTATGCTTTTGTTTGTTCTACTCATCATAGAAGGTTTTTTATGTATTATAATAATTGTATACACTGGTAAGTAAGTTATCATACAAGCTACTAATTTTATCGTGATTTCCGAGATTTCTTAAATTTATTGGCGACTTATTTGTCTGGACTCGTGATTGCAGGCGTTAGGAAAGGGTCTGCTAATCAGAGCGCGCTTTCAACGTTATCGACCGTTTAAATATATACTAATTAATTTTATTGCCAAGTCGGGGACATATATAAAACCACTAAGTCAGTAATAATTCAGTTGTATCATGACTTTTGCGCAGTGTTCCTCAACAACTTGCACTTCTGCAGGACTCATTCTCTTTCTCCATTTCTCAAGAACTTGCTTCGGGTCGCGAATGGTTTCATAGGCACCTTTTCGGGAATTGCCAGCTCTTGTCGCTTCGTGTAGCCATTTTTTGACTTTATCCGACATTTCCATGCCGACAAACTTGTAAATCTCGCTCACCATTGAAAAGGGATTCCGAGCGAGGTCTTCGAACCGAATCAACCGGTACCCATTGGGTAATAAAGTTTTAAGGTTCAAAACATCGCCGAGGTCTATCTCCATTTGACGGCACATTTTCTTCACAAACCACGAAAATTCACGTTTCTGGTCTTTTTTCCTTCTAAAAAAATGCACAGTCTTTAAGGAATAAGCCACAGCTCGCGGATCGCGGACTAAATGAATAACTCTACATTGGATGGCATTGTTGACAGATCTGCAGCTCTGTAAAAATGTTCTTAACCAGTCAGAGGAGGTTGGTATTCTGGGTGA